CAAGGGTCCCTGGGTGCCACATAGAACAGTGTTTGCAGTGCACCTTGACATGAGACGCGGTTAACGACTGGCACCTCACAGCTTGGAGTGGCAGCTGACGTATGGGCAGCATCAGCCTGCTCTGCGTGAGCGGGTGGAGACCGTTAGTGCAGGGTGTGATCCAGTCTCCTCTTACCGTGCACTATGGTGACTCCTGGCTCTGGGCGGAGCTGAGGGTGGAGAGCGGTGTGGGAGGCCATGGGTGCAGTGGCACGGTGAGGGGTACGGACAGCATGGCAGACGTGGGTGGTGGGTGGCACTAGCAAGGCTCAGTGGCACTGTTTAGGCCAGGGAAGAAGTGGGGCAGCTGTGCCAGTTTTGGGGATGCTCGTGTGAGCAGGTGGACTTGCTGTTCCCAGGGGCAGGCATGGGACAGCTGTGGCAGTCACCTCGCTCAGAGGTCTCTGGTGGCTTGGCCTGGGGGCCGTTCCCCTGCTGCTCCTCTTCCCCAGGCTGCACCCTTCCTTTTAACCCACGTCTGCCCTTGGGCCCCAGCAGGTGTGTGTCCTGGGCCTGCACCTGGCCAAGGAGCTGTGTGAGGTGGATGAGGACGGGGACTCATGGCTGCAGGTGACCCGCAGGCTCCCCATCCTGCCCACCTTGCTCACCACCCTGGAGGTGAGCCTGCGCATGAAGCAGAACCTGCACTTCACCGAAGCTGCGCTGCACCTGCTCCTCACCCTGGCTCGCACCCAGCAGGTAGACCAGGGGGGCCTCAGCTTGAGCTGGTGGGCTCTGGTGCTCAGAAGCAGGGGTGCCGGCCACGGGGACAGGCTCCATTTCCTCCTGTGTCCCGCCCTAGGGAGCCACAGCAGTAGCCGGCGCTGGCATCACCCAGAGCATCTGTCTGCCCCTCCTGAGTGTGTACCAGCTCAGCCCCAATGGCACAGGGCAGGTGAGTGCCAGTGCTCACCAGCTGCCGGCCTGGGGGACGCCTGCCTCACCTCACTGCATTGTGCTCGAGGTTGCTGTCCTCCAGGGCTCTGTACTGCAGGGCTCCTGAGTTCATGCCTAGTGTGCATAAGGCCCCGGCATCCATCCCGAGCCCCCCTGCTCCCCTCAGTAAAGCACTACCTGGTTCTCATATGCCAGCGTTGGAGGTGGGATGGACTTTTCCTATTACAGGCGTTAGAGGGAACAAGCCAGGAGGTTATGGGTCCTTCAGGGCCAGGGCAGGTGGGCTTGCTTCTGCCCTAAGGCATTGTGCGTGTGTGACTTCTCCATCCCTGTCCTCCCAGCCTGAGTCCACAGGAGGGAAGTGGGTGGTGTGAGTGTTTGGTGGGGCTCCAGATACTCTGGTTACCTCTAGCTTTACCGTTGTCTTCTCGCTTCCAAAGAGTAGCCGTCCCCAGAACCTCTCCCTCAGGACTGTGTCAGATTTGCCAGAGAGCCTGGCACGCTCGGTAGGTGGGGGACCCAAGGGCCCGAGCAGAGCGGGTCCAAGATGAGTTAGTGGCTGCCCAGAATCCAGGACCCAGGGTCTTGTCCCCCCGCCTGGCCCCTTCCACACTTGCTGGCCACGCCCCTCTAGGCCTTTGCGTCCCCCAGCAGCTCCGCTGCCCAGAAGCCCTACCGTCCCATCAGCCGGCTGCCGATGGCACCAGGAGCGGAGCTCATCTGCTGTTTGTCATAGATGCCCAGCTCCTCTCGGAAGGCCTTGGATGCCCCCTCCTGGCCCGGGGTGTACCGCCTGTCCATGTCCTTGATGGAGCGGCTGCTGAAGACGCTGCGCTACAACTTCCTGACGGAGGCTCTGGACTTTGTCGGTGTCCACCAGGAGCGGACCTTGCAGGTGAGGGTGCCGAGGCCCTTCTCTGAGGTCCTCCGAGAACACTGGCTGGCCCCCCCGGGCCACTGCTGTCCTGTCACCTCCCACAGGTGGGTACCTGTGGTCTGCCATGTCCCTAAGCCGTCCCGTCCTCCTAGTGTCTCAGTGCGGTGAGGACAGTACAGAGCCTGGCTTGCCTGGAGGAGGCCGATCACACCGTGGGCTTCATCCTGCAACTGTCCCAGTTCCGGAAGGAGTGGCACTTCCACCTGCCTCAGCTCATGTGCGACATCCAGGTGAGGCTTCCGGCAGTGCCTCGGAGGAGATGGAAGCCGGTGGCCAGAGTGACTTCAGGGACTCTGGGCACCCCGTGAGCTGTTCCCGAACATGAGCCTGTGGCTCAGGTTGCTCCACTCCGTGTGCAGCTTTACCCCATGGTGAGGGCGGCCTGGTGGGTTCAGAGCCGTCAGAAACAGGCCTGAACTGGGAGCCAGCCAGAGGGGCGCCCCGGGTGGGAAGGGCATATCTTCTGGGGACAGGCAGGCTGCTGCCAGGTGCTGCCGAGCGACCCGTCCTTCAGCCTTTATTGACCTGTAATAGGGGCCGGCCATCCCCTTCTTCCTTACCTCAGGCTTTGTATCAGGCTGGCTCTGTCGCCAGGTCCTGGGGTAATGACCCAGGGCCCAGCTGACCTGTGCAGTGGCTCTGAGGATGTTAAGCTCTAGCATCCGTGGGTTGGGTAGGAACACAGGGATCCTGGTGAGACCTGTTTGGTCTCCCGGGAACATCCCCCATCCCTGCCCTGTGTGTCCCAGGTGAACCTGGGCTACCTGTGCCAGGCCTGCACCTCCCTCCTGCACAGCCGAAAGATGCTCCAGCACTATCTGCAGGTACTAGCCCCGCCCTGGGTACTGCCTGGAATGGCTCACGGGGCCTTCTTAGGCTCCCGCTTCATTTCTTGGCTCTCCCCAGAACAAGAACGGGGATGGACTTCTCTCAGCCGTCACCCCTCGAGTTCAGCGGCCACCCACCGCCAGCACTGCAGCTTCTGCGGTCTCCTCCTCCTCCTCCTCCAAGCAGCCCACTGCTGACACAGTGTCTGCTGAGCAGCGCGCCTTGCACACGGTCCAGTGTGGCCTCCTCAAGATCCTCAGCAGGACGCTGGCGGCCCTGCGTCACTTCACCCCAGATGTCTGTCAGATCCTCCTGGACCAGGTGCCAGCCACGTGCACTGCCAGGGTCCCTGTAGCTGGCTTTGTCTGTTGTACTACGTGGCTCTAGGGAGCTCCTGGGGTCATAGCAGTGTTCCAGAGTGCTTTTTCCTTACCTTGCAGTCCCTGGATCTTGCTGAATACAACTTCCTGTTTGCCCTGAGCTTTACTACTCCCACCTTTGACTCCGAAGTGGCCCCCTCCTTCGGGACCCTCCTGGCTACTGTGAATGTGACCCTCAACATGCTTGGAGAGGTGAGTCAGGTGCTAGCAGAGGCCCTCTGTTCGCTCTGCTCTCCCCTCGGCCTGCCACTTCCATGACCCCAGCTCACTTCCCAGCCTCCCAGTCCAGTTCCTGTCCTTCCGGTGAATGTGACTACCTGCTCGTGCAGTCGGAGAGGCAGCTGTTGAGAACTGCCTGGCGCAGGCCTGCTCGGTGGGAGGAGCTTAGTAGCTGAGAGCCATTGTTCTTGTCTGGTTTTCACCACCTGCTTCTCTCTTTCCAGCTGGACAAGAAAAAGGAGCCACTCACGCAGGCTGTGGGGCTCAGCACCCAGGCAGAAGGAACCAGAACGCTGAAGTAAGATCGTGTGGGACTGGATGAGCCCAGGCCATGGTGGTCCTCTTTTTCTGGCAGGGCTGCTCACCTGCATCTGCCAGCTCTGCCCTGAGCGGTGCCCAACCTGCCCTTCCTCCAGGTCCCTGCTGATGTTCACCATGGAAAACTGCTTCTACCTGCTCATCTCCCAGGCTATGCGGTACCTCAGGGACCCGGCTGTGCACCCCCGGGACAAACAGCGGATGAAGCAGGAGCTCAGCTCTGAGCTGGTATGGATGGACAGAGAGGACGGCTAGGGGGGCAAGGAAAGAGCCCCGCAGGGTCCCACCTGCCAGCCCCTGGGGTTGGGGACAGTGACCCAGGGGTGCTGGGCTTTAGTAAGCTGCCTCTCTTCTTGTAGAGCACACTGCTGTCCAGCCTGTCGCGCTACTTCCGCCGCGGAGCCCCCAGCTCCCCTGCTGCTGGTGTCCTGCCCTCGTCCCAGAGCAAGGCCTCCGCTCTCCCCAAAGCCAGCCCCGAGAGCCAGGAGCCCCTGATCCAGCTGGTACAGGCCTTCGTCCGCCACGTGCAGAGATAAGAGTGCCTGTCCCGGGCAGGGTGCACTGCGCTCCGAGCAGCCATCACTCCCAGGTCACCACCACTCCAGCCACCCGCTGCTGACATTATTTTTGTATTAGATCGAGAGGTCTACAGCAGAGGCAGGGAGCGGGGGCCCCAAGGCGGTTCCTTTCCTTGAGCATGCCCACGGCACTGGCCAGCCAGGGAGGCCACGGGTTCAGTGTTTCTGGGATCCCTTGCAGTTTTTTGGTAATACTGTGGTCTATTTATACAAATATTAAAATACTGTTTATACACAAGCGAATGGTATACACGGCAGCTCTCAGCCGGACACAGGCCACTCTGGCCTAGGCCTGGCTGGGGAGGTGGCAGCCAAGGGAGGGCAGGGTATGCACCAGCATCACTCAGCGCTCCAGGGCAGGCAGTGCCCGCAGACACTGTTGGGTGCACCCTCCCTGGCCTGCCTGGGTCTTACTGGTCCAGTTGGCTGTGCCTGGCACTGGGCAAAGCCTTTCTGGGTCGGCCACCCCCTCCGGAAGCCCCAGTCCGAGGCAGGCTGGCCTGACCTTGAGGCTCAGCTAGGCCGCTTGCCAACTGTGGCACTTCGAAAAGGTAACATCTCCCCCATCTTCCCTCCTGAGGTGTGGGTGCTCTGGCGTGTGCTGGGCTCCAGTCCCCACGCGGGGAAGTCACTATCAGGATATACTGTGTGCGTAACACACCGGGCACCGTGCTGCCCATGGGGAGCAGGAGGCTGGCTGGCTGGCAGGGCGCCCTAGGCCTATGCCACCCACCCCTACCCAGGGAGCAGGGTCCCTGGTATCTACCGGTCCCTTCAGGGCTGCCTGCGCCACGTTGAGACTGACAGGAGCCCGGGCAACACACACAAAGGAGGGTTTATTATTTACTGTTGGCCAGAGCAAGCAGACAGGCAGAAGTAAAAAGACCAGTTAAAAAGTGAGTGTGAGGTGAAGACTGCAGCCACGCGCGGCTTCAGCTGTGCACTAGCGGGAGGAGAAAGGGTAGCACCAGGCAGGCGCTGCTCCGGGCCACCCTGTCTCCGGCCGGGCTGTCCCCTCCCAGGGCAGCACCAGGCCCAAGCTGCCAGAGCCCGCCTGCTTTGCCACTGGTCCTCAGCCTTTGGCAGCTAAGACAGGTGTGCTCTTCTCGCCAAGGGTGCCCCGTGGGTCCTGGGCTGCACCCCTCCCTTCCCAGGGGACCAGGAGAGCTAGGGTGCGGGGGTGCAGGAGGCCAGGCTCCACACCACAGGTCAGAAGCAGGGCTGGCGGAGGGGCTGCGGCCTGTGGCCTCTCGGGCTCCCTCACCGCAGGAGGGTGGGGGCTTGGGTGGAATGGGGCTTGTGTCCCCACTGTGGGCCTCTGTCACCAACAGACGAGTGCCAGGGCCCGCCTGCTTAGCTGAGCAGCTCCAAGTAGGTGACAGGCACCTTCCCTTTCTTGTTGCCTCTCTCGCCGATGAGCCAGTCAGGGTCCATGCCGGGCAGGCTGTAGACGGTGATGAGCTGCAGAGAGGGTGGCGAGGGAAGCTCGTGCTCCGGCTACGGGCAGGACTGGCCCCAGGACTAGGTGGGCACGCAGCTGCCATCTTCCTGCCCAGTCACCCACGCTCCAGGGGCAGGCGTTCATCCCCTTGCCCTGCTGAGCAGGCAGGTCGGCTGCTTCCTTGGAGCCGCCCCCTGGCCTGCCAGACACGCCAGGGCTCCCAGTCTCGAATCTGGCGGTGTCTACCCCAGCCCTGGCCCATCCCTGCCGGTACCCGGCCCACCTCGTCAGCCAGCAGGGCCAGCTCGCTGCTGTCAGCTGCCTCATAGTCGTAGAGCACCCGGGCCTTGCGGGTCCCGCTGGCTGGGGGCGAGACCTCCTCCAGGCAGAGCGCGGCCTCTCCCGGAGTGGCCAGGCTGGCCACTGTTGGCACCACGGGCATGGTGGCCACAGCGGTGGTGGGTGAGGTGGTGCTCAGGGGTGGAGAGGCAGGCTCTGTGGTGCCCACAAACGTGCCGGGGAATCTGGAGGCAGGGGGGTTCTAAGCCCAAGCTGTGCCCCAAAGACAACCCCGGGCAGGGCCTTCCCGGCCCAGGAGTCCCCTGCCCACTACTTACATGGCACCCTGGGAGCTGGCAGCACAAGGGAAGCAGAGCAAGCGGGGGTGAGATGGTCCTGCCCCCTGGTCCTCCCCCAAGCATCCCAGGGGCTCGGAGGTCCCCAAGGGTAGGGCCTGTCACTTGGCCCAGAGGGGTTTCTAGGCCCATGGGAGGGGCTGGGGAATGGGGGGCCGGGCCACACCTGCCCAGCTGCTTCTGCAGGTCCAGCATGTGGTGGTAGCACTGTGCATAGTAGGTTGTCTGTGACTTGACAAACTCATGGAGGCAGCGAAGGTGGTTCACCTGGGGGCGTGGGGAGGTTGGCGCTGCCCCCAGCCTCCAGCCCAGGTGGGCCGTGTGCCCCTCCAGACCTTCCCAGTGCCTCAGGGAGCCCAGCCCGGCTCACGTGCGTGCTGCTGATGCCCTCCAGCAGGAGACGGGTCACTTCGGCCTGCCGGTCAAACTCAGTCTGAGCCACACGCAGCTCCTGCTCGGCCTGGGCAGGGTGGGCAGAGCATGAGAGCTGGGCGGCTGCCTGTGCCCAGATGTCGCCTCCCCTGGGGCCTCAATTCCCAGAGAAGCTGGAGCCCATGTGGGAGACCCCTGCACCCCTCAGGAACGGACAGACACGGGCAGAGGCCCCCCCAGGACCCAGCTGTGTCCCAGGCACTGGGGAGATGGAACCGCCCGCGGCCGCATCCTTATCCACTCCTCTACCTCCCAGTCCCTGACCCCGGAGCCCAGCTCACCTTGTCCACCTCGTCATTCCAAAGCTGCAGGGACACAACAGCACCAGTCAGCGGGAGAGGCGACAGTTCCAGGACCCCACCCCGGCCCCTCTGCCCCCACCCGGCCTGACTGGGAGCTGAGGCTGGGGTGAGGTCTGGTGTGAGGGTTCGGCGTGACGATCGGCCCGTCCGACATGCCACATGCAGGGAGGGGACAGCCGGAGTCCTGCGTGCTCGCCTACAGCGCCAGCCGTGTGCCCACCCCGGGACTCCTGGCTAAGGCTGGAGGGCTGGGAGGCAGGACGTGTGACCCTGGGCCAGTCACTGAACCTGTCCGTCCTCCGGCAGAGAAAGGCAGCCTCGGGCCTGAGTCACACTGGGGGTCAGTGGCAAAAGAAAAAAACAGGGCGGGCTCCACCCTCCAGGATGTTTCTCCTTCCACTCGGCCCGGGGCGGGGGGCGGGAAGTGGCATCCAGAGTCTAGAGAAGAAAGACCCCCCTCCCCCCGCCGTGACTTAGGAGACCTGGCTCTCTGGCCGCTCCAGGGACCTGACCCAGGACAGTGTCCCTGCGCAGACTCAGGCCCAGCAACGGGGCCGCAAGCGCCCGTGACCATCCGCGGTGAGGCACGGATCCCACAGCAGCAGCACACTCATGTCGGTGAGGAGCCGCAAGGCCTGCACAGAGGCCTTGTCCATGGGGACATGGAAGGACAGCAAGGGTGGGCAATGGCGGCAGCATGGCTCTGACAGGCGTGACAGGCCCGGGTCCCACACTCAACAGAGAAACTGGCTCCACAGAGCCGACAGACCAGGACAGAGCTCAGCCGGGCATGGCTGCCCGCCTCCCGGCGGCTGTGGCCAGAGTCCTCCTTGGGACGGGCCTAACCTGAACCAGGCCCTGGGCCCGGGCTCTGTGGTGGTCAGGCCTCCCCGTCCTCCCCGGGCACTGAGCAGGTGTGTGACAGCGGTGGCCGCCCAGGCCTCGGCTCTGGGAGTCTGGCTCGGAAAACAGGCCCAGGCCCGTGCCGCACCCTCAAGGGCAGTGGAGCAGAGGTGGGAGGGCAGACAAACCCCAGGTCCCAGGGGCTGGGACTGGGCTGTCTGCGGCTCCCTCTGTGGGTGGCTCAGTGCAGCTGGCCACGCCGCCATGGTCAGCGTTTTGCAGGAGAAGCAAGTCCGGCTTTGGCGCTCGGTCCCTGGGCTCAGGGCCAGGCCTCGCTCTGGAGCGCCCTGCGTCTGGCCCCTGCCTCCTGCACCCTGTACAGTCAGGTCCCGCAGGGCTGCGGGAGAGCTGGGGCTGGGCGGGGCGGGGCGGGGCGCTTACCGCGGAGGCGCTGGCCGACAGAATGTAATTACGCGGTCTAGTCTCCTGAAAGTCAGGCACCGCCTGGTGGGGAAGAGTTCATGGGGCAAGAGGTCATCCTGGGCCAGGGCCGGATGGAGGCCAGGAGGCTGCCCTACAGTGCCGCAGCTCCTGCCCCAGGGAGAGGACACACACAGAGACACCACAGACCCGCTGTGCCCGCAGCCGGAGGGGAGATGGGTCGGTGAGTCCGGTGACCTGGGGTGGACGTGCTGGGGAGCCCAAGAGGGTGGCTGCGACTGCTGTCACAGCCCTTCCTCCAGGTGAGCCACAGCCCGGGCCGGGCCCCACCCTGGACCCCGCACAGTCCAAGGCCCCAGTCAGGATGACCCGCCGTCCATAGCTCCTCCCCACCCTGAACCTCTGCACACCATGTCTGTGGCTCCTGCGTCAAAGCCCCCCCGCCCCCGGTGACGGATGCATGGATGGACAGAGTGACAGGCGTTCCACGTTTGCAAAAAGCTGGCTGCAGGCTCCAGACCTGTGTCCCCGCGCCAGGAGCACAGGACTCAGCCCTGAAGAGTGCAGTGGCTTGCAAACCGCCCAAGGACACGCCCGGGACCGGCCGCCCGGACAGAAGCAGCACAGCACGCGGGACAGGTATACTCACATCTCCCTCACACTGAGCCAAGTTACCCAAAGCAGGACGGAAAGGAACAGAAACAGAGAGTTAGTGAGTCCAGAGCGCAGGGCGGGAGGGACGCTAGGACGCACAGGAGGCCCGGCCAGCAGCCAGCAGTGTGGGGAGAGGGTGGGGCTGGGGCCCAGAGTCCCTGAGCTTGGGGACACTGCTCCTGCCTGACCTAAGCTGGACTGTGGTGGGAGAGGGGCTGTGGGGTCCCCACGGTGACTAAGAAAGGGCACCCCTGCTGGGCGTGGTAGCTCACGCCTGTGATCCAAGGATCGCTGTTAAATTCGAGGCCTTCCTGAACTGCATAGCAAGACCCTGTCTCAAAAAAAAAAGGGTGCCTGGCCTGGCTGATGGAGAAGGGAACGACTGTCCCGCCCAGGTGACTCAGAAGAGCTCATCTTGATAGCCCCAGGTCCCCTGGCCACCGGTCCAGGGAGCTGAGACTCTACCACTGCTCTGGCCGGAGGCCGTGCAGGCCCAGCTGTGGTACCAGGGCTCCATGCAAGAGGGGAAGGCGAGGTCATGGCAGCCGGGAGCCCACTCGCGCTCACAGGGCTGGGCCGGCCTTTCTTGGCCAAGCCTGGGCCACGTAGATGGAGGTCACCATGCAGGCCCGGGGCTGGGAGTCCCCTTTGTGGGCCCTGTGCCCTGAGCACTGGCATGCAGGGACGAGCTTGCCCACTCCTGGCCTAACCTGGCCAAGGCAGCTCACATGTGTGCCCCTGGCCTGGCGGAGAAGGGCTCAGGCCCTGAGCACAGACAGCCCCATACGGCGGGAGGGTTAGTAGGGGAGCCATGCCCGGGCAGAGCATCCAGGGAGTAGGTGGGCAGGGCGTGCGAGAAACCCCAGCTGGCTGGCTGCCCTGGGGCCACCAGGGCTCCCTCAGAGGTGGGGACTCAGAGGTGACCGGCCAGCTCAGTCCAGCCCCAGCCAAGCCGCCCAGCCAGGGAGAGGGGACAGAGGTCATGCCGAATACCAGGCCCCTGTGTGGGTCCCACACAGCCAGAGCCTGGGGCCAGGAGGCTGCTGGGGACACCTACCGTGGCCTTGGCTTCTGCAGCCTTGGCCTTCTTCAGCCTCGCTTTACAGGCATCCAGGTCCAGGCGCCGGTTCTGGAGCAGCCGCCTCTCCTTCTGCAGGGAAGGCAGTGGGGTACAGTGAGGCCCTGCCTGGTCCAAGGGCTGTCTGGTCAAGACAGGGAAACTGAACCCCGGAGGTGGGAGGTCCCTCCAGATCACTCAGTCCACAGGAGCCACTCTAGGGTGGAAGGCCCTGGGAGTGTCAGGTCCCCTGCGCAGGCTGAGGGCCCCTCACCGAAATCGTCTTCCAGTCCCCTTCCAGGAAGTTGCGCAAGGGCGTGAGGAAGCTGACGGAGGCCGCATGGATGAAGTCCCTCTCGGCAGCTCCCAGACGCTTCTCAGCTTCCGACACCTTGAGGAGCGTCTTCCCTGGGAACAGAGCAGAGGGTGGAGAAGGGCCCCAGGCAAGGTCCAGAAGAAGCCCACCGGGGCAACTGGGGAACCCCCAAAGGTGAAACACTGTAGCCACTGGTGTGCATGAGGCCCTGGGCTCTATCTCAGAGTGACAGAGGAAAGGGCTGGACAAATCCTCTCTCCTGAAAGCACCGTTAACTGCACCCAACTGCCAAAACCATCCACTTCCACACTGGAAATTGACCAAAGGCAGGAAACATCACAAGGGACACATACTGACCTTGGCACGGACCCCACGAGTGACACTGTGGCCTGGGGATGCCACCATTGCTCAAGGTCTGTGGCTCGGTGGCTCTCCAGGGTGGGGAGGCGACAAGGCCCAGCTCTGCTGCCAGAGGGGGCTGACTTGACTTGTGGCGGAAACACAAAATAACTGGTGGGACACTGCTGAGAACAGCAGTAACCTCGATGGCACGGAGCTGGGAAAAGCAACCCAGCAACCAGCCTGGGGCTGGAACACAGGTCGGCATGTACCTGCCAGAAACAAAACAGGCCCCGGGAAGGGAGGAGCCAGCGTGGGTGTGAGCACCGGGGAGACACGGAAGCTGCCTGAATATGGACGGGTCACTACAGATGCTTAAGCACAACCTCTGACTGGCTGACCACTCATGTACGCAGACCAGGAGGAGCCCCTTGGAAGCTTGGCGTGAAAATGAGAGTAACTGTTACGAGGGTGGGACAAAAACTTTAGCTGCACCTGGCAGGAGACGCAGATTGTATAAACAATTAGCTCAGACAAGTCTCTAAACAAACACAGGGCAATAACAGCCCCCAGGCAGGGGGATCAGAATGCAAAGCTGCTGTATTATCTAAGATGTCCACATTTCAGCCAGTGCCAGTGGCCCACACCTGTCATTCCAGCTGTTCAGGAGGCTGAGGGAAAAGAAATGCAAGTTTGAGCCCAGCATGGGCATCTTAGCAAGACCTCGTCTCAAAATAAAATATAAACACTGGGCTGGGCATGCAGCTCAGTAGTAGAGCACTTGCCCAGCACCCACAATGCTCTGGATTCTATCTCTAGAAATGAAAAAATAAAAAAGGGAATGATGAGATACAGAAAGATGCAAGAAAGTGTGGTCCATACACGGGGAAAAGGGAATCAACAGACACCACAGTGGAAGAATTAAAAGAAAGTATGATGGCAATGGTTCATCGGTAAAGAGAAAGGAACTTAAAGAAAATCCCCAAGTTGAAAAGTGTAATAACTGAAATGAAACATTCACTAGAAGGGCTCAACAGTATATCTAAACTGGCAGAAGGGAAAAAATCAGCCACTCTGAAGATACAGCAATAGAGATTACTCAAAGGGAAAAATGGAGAAAAACAGACTGAAGAACAGAAAGAAAAGAGAAAAGTGAACAGAGCCTTTCACCAGCAACCTATAGCAAGTGAACCAGCACACAACAGGAGTCCCAGGAGGGGGAAGAAAACATACTGAAGGAACAGTGGCCTAAACATTCTGAATTTGATGGAAAACATGAATCTACATATCCAAGAAATTCAGGACTCTAAGCTGGGGATGGGGGGGCACGAAGAGGTCCATCGTTGGGATCTCACAAATTATTGCAAGATAAAGACAAAAGGCCCGGAACCTGGCAAAAGTAAAACAATTCATTCACAGCAGAGGCACAGTAAGGTTAGCAATTTATTTCTCACCAGAAATGGCAGAGGCCAGACAGCAGGGAGACTCTACAGTCATGGGAAGAGAGCAAGCTCACCCAATATTTCTATATACGAAAAAGTGACCCTCCAGAAGTGAATAAAGTGGTTCCTAGGTAAAGACTAGAAGAATTTGATAGCATACTTGGCATACAAAAATTCTTCAAGTTCAAAGACACTGACATCAGATATAATCTGAATCCTAAAAAGCAATTAATTATAGTTAAACATGCATGATAGATTTTTCTCTTAACTGATCTAAGATAACTGCATGAAAGGAGTTACAAAACTTGTCGGGTTCATAACACAGAGATGACAAAAGCAGTACAGAGAGGGGGCGATGTAGTTGTGCTGAAGCAGTTTCCATATTTTACTAGAAGTTAATCAGCACGACTCAGAAGTGGACTGTGATAAATTAAGATCCACACTAGAATCCCTAAACAACCACTTAGAAAACTTCTAAAAAGTTAAAGCAACAAATAAATTTAAATGTTACACTAGAAAATATCTATAGCACAAAAAACAGTAAAGGTGAAACCAGAAAGAAAATGACTTCTAATTGCTAAAGAAAACAACAGCAGGGCCAGGGATTTAGCTCAACGGTTCCAGTGTTTGCCTTGTAAGTGTAATGTTCCATCCCTGGTACCAAAAAAGAAAAAAAAAGAAAACAATAGCAAAGTATACATGTTAATCTAGGCACATCAAGGGTTGCATTAAATATAAATAGATTAGCATTCCAATCAAAAGACAAGTGCCGTGGCTGGGTGTGGTGGTGCATGTTTGTAATCCCAGTGCTAGGGAGGCTGAGGCAGGAGGATCCCGTGAGCCCAGCCTGAAGTATACAGCAAGGCTTATCTCAAAAACAAGGAAAACCAAAAAAAACAAAGAAAAAAAAGTAGTGCTTGTCAGAATGGATTTGTTTTTGTTTACAAGTGTGGCATGTGCCTGTAATTCCAGCACTGGAAGGCTGAGGCAGGAGGATAATCATGAGTTTGAAGTCAGCCTGGAGAACTACATATGAGACCGTGTCTCCAACTCCTCCCTCAAATGTTATACTAGGTGAAAGAAGTCAGATGCAAAACAGCCTTTAATGACACCACTTATAGGAAATGTTCAAGAAAGACAAATTTCTGGAGACAAAAAGCACGCTAGTGGCTTGCTGGAGGTGAGAACAGGGACTGACCATAAACAGGAATGAAGGACTTGGGCGGAGAAGTGTTTTAAAAATAGGACTGCAGAGACTGTACAACTCCACAGATTTACTAAAAACCACTGAATCCCCCATTTAAACCAGGTACACTTTATAGCACGTAGGTTACACCTCCAACAAACAGAAAGGCAGAGCCAAGCCTGGGGTGCTCCGGACAAGCTATGGTAGGCAGGTACTGCAGCACGACCCCCACAGATGTGTAAACAAATCAAAACAGTAAGGGCAGTTTGCTTTTTTTTCCCCTCTCTCCTACAGTGATGCAGAGTTTCACAGTTAGAGTGAATTCAGGTATTATTTGTATCATTAAAAAAAAAACTAAATGGAAGAAGGAAGGGAGGGAGGGAGGGACGGAAGGAGGAAGAGGAGCAGGGAAATTCAGGGCGAGCCCCAGACCTAGCCCTGGGGCCCGCGGCTGCTGCTCACCATAGGGCGTGGTGGGCCCCAGCTCGCTCGCCGCCTCGGCCATGTACTGGGCCAGCAGCTCCCCGTTGGTGACCCGCGAGGGCACTTTCCTGTCCAGCTTCTCATACAGGAACTCCTCCACTCGGGCACCTGCGGGGCAAGGCAGCCAAAGCCAGGGCTCTCTGGCCCTCACCCTGTGAGGCTGGTTCTGTTATCCCCTTGGCCCACAGGGAGGAAACCAAGGTCCAGAGACACAGTGCCTGCCCGAGGCCACGCAGCCGGGGGAGGGGGGGGGCGTGTGTGTGTGTGTGTGTGTGTGTGTGTGTGTGTGTG